CACTCATCAGACGAAACGCGAAAGTATTTGTCATACTTCCACTTTACGCTGGTCTTCTGTGAGGTCGTGGTACTCACCCGGACGGGCGTGCCCATTCGTGCAACAGCCGAGGCTGCTGCGTGGCCCTACCACCGTTAAAGGGGTTGGGTCCACGAGAGTCCCTTTGGCATATTTTAAGCAAATAAACGACTTAACGCTGTCGTCGCTACCCTGTTAATTTTATACTTATATACTTTTGTGTATATACTTAAGTAATTCAAAGAAAAAAAAAAGATAGGACGGCAGAGTTTCTTGCCGGTTCTTTGGCAGGTCTAGTTTAGTGAACATCTAGTTTTTGACGATAAATGAGAGCTTAGAATAAGCCTCTGTTGTGATTTTATGACAAAAAAATAGGGTTAATGTTTTATGTCGATTACTTTTATCGGGTCATAAAATATTTTTTATTGTTACATATAAAAAAATATTTTTATTTTAGGCAAAAACCCATAGTTGTTATTGAATTAAATACGAATAAACCATTATAATATAAAAAAAGAACAGATACAATAACAATAATTTTGAAATGTAGTGAATAATTGTATTTATGCTAGCCTATATGTTATACTTACCATCAGGTGAGCCTCCTGCTCGTTTGCCCCCTTTCTCCATATAAAAAAAAAAAAAAAAAAAAAAAATACTGATGTATAAGCTATATTATTGTAAAGTTTCATTAAAATCCATTCAGTAGTATTTGCGTAAAAGAATAACAAACATCCATCCATACATACAAACTTTCGCGTTTATAATGTTAGTAAAGAATTAAGGTGGTAAGGATCTATATAACTAAGTGCTGTATCTCAAAAAACCTAATCCCCCGTCTCCTTCTTTATTTACCACTAGCTTTTCGCCCGCGGCTCAGCCCGCGTTGAAGTCCTTAAATAAATAGCTTTTTTAATAAAAATAATCCTATTTCCATCTAAATACCTCTAAGAATGTGTGTACATAGTTATATGATAATCGGTTGAGTAGATTTCGCGAAAGCGAACAAACAAACTTACATTCACACTTATAATATTAAGTTGGGATTAAAATATGCACTGGGAACAAAAAAAGGGCAGTACCGTTTTACGATAAAATACATCGCCGAAGCAGGCGAGTGCACTAAAGTAATCGGCTATGCGTTTTAATGAAATACGAAATTCCCCACCCGTATCGCGTCGAGCGATTAAAATACGCGCCACGAAAACTTTTATTTGTAACGAGGGTCCATTCGTTTGTTTACCTTTATTTGCTAATTTATTTTGTGTTCATTTATTTTATTTTATTTTATTAATTTATTTATTTATTTTTATTGAAAACACCTCATAAAGAAAGGGTTTACAAAGGGCGACCTTAATGCTTATTGGCATTCTCTCTTTATATACAAGGACGCTTTTGTAAGTGTATCCATTTTTTTATTAAGTTATAGACATTAATAATGTTATATAAAAAATGATAAATATTTAAAATCACTCTAATATCAAAAATCAATTGGTTTTGTTACTTTTGGAAACCTGGAGTGGAAAAAATGTAACTCATCAATTCAATATAATATTCATATTTTGTTAATCACATTAATAAAAAAATCTTCGTTTCATAAGAAAAATTTCGGGACCTTACCAATGGACTGCTAGTTTTTTTTAAATAAACGAGCCTTGATTAAATAAATAAATGAGCATAAGCTCATAAAATTAAACAACAAAATTTCTGTAATTCATTAACAACGAGACGAAATAACTAATACACACTTCAAAAAGGTTTATTAAATCCTTGTCAGCCTACACTGAGAAAAAAATGTCAGGCAATACTATTCACAGACACTTGATGTTTGCACTCACAAAATATGAATACTAAAAGCCAGTGTTTAAAGCAATTTTTTTATTATTAGAAAAGGTGACAAGCGATTTATTTGTTACCTGTTTATCGCAACCCATATCATATGGCTTGAAAAACCAATATAGATAATAAGAATAAAGATAATAAGAAGAAAATCTTTGAGACAGCTAGTTAGAGTTTACCACAAGAACGGCAAAGTATGAGTACCTTTAGGTGTTATATTAGCACTTCCCGGATGAGATAGCTGGTTCTTGCAACAGTAGAACGATTTTAGGTAGTATCATAGAAGACGCTACAACATTCTTTGGCAATTATAAAAAAGTACTTACCAAGAAATGTATTGACTTGGTGATGAATCATAACGTGTATTGCCATACAGATCTACAGCCCAGAATATGTGTAATAATTGAATCATTGTCCTCGAATCCGATAACGACATTATTAATCTTATCATTTTCATTTTAACAGGAAATCGATTAGCTAACTTACCAATAAAGTAATTGTTAAACTGTCGACTTCCTTTGTAATTTTAGATTTTCTTTGGATTATTTCTGTCAATTTATAGAAAATAATACATTAGAATTTTTATAATGATTTGCAAACATTAAAAAAATTTTTATAATTTATCGGTGGTAGGGCCACGCAGCAGCTTCGGCTGTTGCACGAATGGGCAGGCCCGTCCGGGTAAGTACCACGACCTCACAGAAGACCAGCGTAAAGTGGAAGTATGTCAAATACTTTCGCGTTTCGTCTGGTGAGTGAGGTAGCCGGAGTCCAATTTTCAAAAGGTTGTCAAAGCATCAGTAACCCTCGGGTGTAGCAGATGTCCATGGCGGCGGTATTCACTTACCATCAGGTGAACCGTCTGCTCGTTTGGCAACTTTTCACATAAAATAAAAAATAAATAAACATGTCGCATTAGATTAAATACAGATGTAATTCATTGTACCTACGTCTCAAACTTAGTAATTTCAATCAATGAAAATAGAATTATTTAGTTTTTACATTAGAAGAAATTTTAGGACATATTACCGATCGAACGATTTTTCCGAAGTTATTGACAATGCACCTAGTTTGCTCTACTACTGCAACCTCAGAGGAGACTGTTACTCCGTATACTAAGATTTTATTCAGCGATTAAAATGTCATTTACGAAACTGACAGTAGCAGGGCAAAATCTAGAATAAATATTTAGACCATACCTTGACACGGCGCAGTGGAAAAACTACGAAGAGTGGAATTAAATCGGCGACTCTTAATTGATGTGGGATAGGGGCGGACTTTGAGCGAATTCTGTGACATCTATAGCGGCGTTGACAGTTCCATTAGAATAACAAACAAACACATTTGATAAAAAGTTGTACCGCGATAATAAGAGCAAATTGTAATAAATTTTTAATAAATGCCTTCGTAAAGAATGATACATGATAGGGTAGTTTACGAGTTATTAGTACTAGCCAAAGACATCCACATTTCACTGAGCTGGAGAGTCTTGTTATCTAAAATTGGGTGAAAATGTTTTACAGACAGTTTTTGATATCACTTACTCATTTGTACGCATCTAATAATAAAACTTCACGCCTCTAGGTGGATCTGTCTATCTAAAGAAAACTAGGATACGTAGTGGTAGAAAATCATGCAGGCCAGGCTTTTACTTAACTGTACTTAGATCAGAGTACATGGGGTACCGAACCGTTATTCTGAAGCTCGATTGACTACAGTACAGCTAAAGTAACGATATTTGCTATAATGTTTACATGTTACATACTTGTACATATAATTGATAACAGGTATAATATACGGACAGATAGCGCGGTATTATAAATCTCCAGATACTTGTATACCCCTCTTGCTCATTTATTTGATAATTTTTGACAGTTTGGTCCCTCGATGTTACTGTTTAAGCTTTTGTAACACTAGCATTCGTAGCGTATATCGTTGAAATCCAGTTGAAAATGTTTACGGTAATTAATGTTAAATAATTATAGTATACTCATTGCAAACACGTAAGATTACAGTTAATAATATAAGGTACAATACCGATTTTGTTGTACTTTAGAACGAATATTAAAGTAATTTCGGGACAAGGATTTCGGGAATGTTTAATCATGTCTACGCCGCGACCTCAAATTCTTGTCGATGTAAAACTTTCTCGTTATTTACGAATATGGCTTAATTAGAACGTGAACCGAAAAGTTATCGGTTCCCTCTATAACTTTAACCTGGATAAGGAAAACTCATCAAAAGTCTTTTTTAACTTAAATTAAATAAAATATAGCATTTATTCTAAGTGACCTGTAAAAAGGGCGGGAGTAAGTACGTAACTAAGACGTCTTCAGCCAATACATGTATCACAACTTAACATGTCGACGTGGAGAACATTTGGTCAGGTTTTTGGTTTGTTGCGAATCTTAGATTCGCTTTCGTAGGAACTCATGAACATATGACTCTCGGAACTCTTTAAAAAGGAAGAAGTTTTACATTACTGTAATTAATTATGTCAATTGGATATTAATAAAAACATTAAAACTTAATTTTAATGCGTTTTATAAATTATTGTTAAGTTTCACCATATTACCTTAAACGTAGTAAAAACAGCTACAGTTAAAACTGATAAGAAAAGTATCATCTTTGATTTTTTACGTATCTTTCATCATTTCAGTATAAAAGTAGTATTTAAACCAGATTACAAATCCAATAATGATTATTGTGTTTCCGAGAATAGAATCTCGTGTCGGCGTTCGGGTCTTATTTATTAATTGTCGTATATCAAAACTTTACATAGTTCGGTATATTCTACAAACAATCTGCGACTGATTGACGCCATCGTAACGGGTCCGCCTAATTAGTGGCGTAAAACTTCCGAATGGCGTGACATTAGGTGAGACAATTAAACACATCTGTCACCTTGACCGCTTCGAGCGTGACCGGGATAAGAAACTGTGCTAACGATTTTTATTGCGAGCCTCAAAATCCCTGTCTACAGCGAGCCGTGCGCGCGGGCTTTGCGGCGTTAGCGGTTGCCCTACAATGCTCGCGGTATATAAAAGAAACAACGCAGATGCATGTTCAGTTATGTAGCATCGCTCCAACCGAGGTCCGCGCTTAGCGTTCGCACGGTTTAATTCCTATTTATATATTTCTAGAAGCGGCCATGAGGGGTCACGTGCTCAAGCTGCTGCTCGGCGTGGGCTTCCTTGCGTTTGTGAAATGCGGACCGCCCGGCAAACCCTCCCTTGGATGGGGTGAGCGGGTCTTCGAGATCGTCGAGGTCAATCAAGCGGCGACTGCTTACAACCAGCTGGTGAAGAGGAAAGATAGCGCAGATGTCACGGTGTCGTGGAATGTTTGGTCCGGGGACGCGGCTGACAGCGCCAGGGTTCTACTCAATGGGGAGGAGTACTGGTCCGGGAAGTCGGGCGCGGCGTCCACGGCTACGTTCAAAGTGACAAAGGGTGGCATATATCAGATGCAGGTCGAGCTTTGCAACTCGGACGGCTGCACTTCTAGCGATCCGACCGAAATTATCGTCGCCGATACAGACGGAAGTCATCTACCTCCATTGGAGTACACTATGGGCGAGAAGAACAAGCCATTCAAACAAACCTCGGGAAAAGTCGTGGGTGCGTACTTCGTTGAATGGGGCGTGTATCCGAGGAAATTCCCAGTGGATCGCGTTCCAATTCCTAATTTGACGCATCTTCTGTACGGATTCATCCCGATTTGTGGTGGTGACGGTATTAATGACAGTTTGAAGGAAATTGAAGGCAGCTTCCAAGCTCTGCAACGGTCATGCAGCGGCCGCGAGGACTTCAAAGTCTCGATTCACGATCCCTGGGCTGCTCTTCAGAAACCCCAGAAGGGTTTATCCTCCTGGAATGAACCTTACAAAGGAAACTTTGGCCAACTCATGTCACTCAAACAAGCTAGGCCTGATCTGAAAATCTTGCCTTCCATTGGCGGCTGGACTCTAGCTGACCCTTTCTTCTTTTTCACTGATGAGGTGAAAAGAACTCGCTTCGTTGATTCAGTGAGAGATTTTCTCGAGACTTGGAAATTTTTCGATGGTGTCGACATTGATTGGGAGTTCCCCGGCGGTAAGGGTGCCAACCCAGACCTTGGAAGTCCAGAGGACGGCGATGTTTACGTTAAACTTATGAAAGAGCTTCGTGAGATGCTGAATGACCTATCAGAACAAACTGGTAAAAAATACGAACTGACATCAGCTATAAGTGCGGGATGGGACAAAATTCAAGTCGTTGATTACAGCGAAGCGCAGAAATATATGGATCACATCTTCCTCATGAGCTACGACTTCAAAGGTGCGTGGTCTAACGACACACTAGGGCACCAAACGCCACTTTACGCCCCAGCTTGGAATCCTAAGGAAACTTATACCACTGACTTTGGTGTAAAATACTTGCTCGCTCAAGGAGTTAACCCTAAAAAGATAGTAGTGGGAGTTGCAATGTACGGACGCGGTTGGACTGGTGTTCATGGGTACGAGGATAAGAATCCTTTCACCGGGAACGCGACAGGACCCGTCAAAGGCACGTGGCAAGATGGCGTTGTCGACTACAGAGAGATAGCGAATGAAATAGCAATGGGAAAATGGGAATTCCATTACGATAATGTTGCGCAGGCCCCGTATGTGTTCAGACCGTCGACTGGTGACCTCATTACATACGACAATCGAAGATCGACTATTGAGAAAGGTAAGTATGTGAGAAACAATAAGTTAGGCGGCTTATTTGCGTGGGAGATAGACGCGGACAATGGAGAACTATTAAACGCTATGAACATGGGCTTAGGGAACACTCAGGCGTGACCCGCTATGCGCTGTGAATTGATATTGTATCGACGTGATTGTGATCCTTATTGTAAGATTAATTATAAGCAAAAGGTCTCAAATTGTAGAAAATATATGTATGATTGGATGACGTGTATTATAAATTATTAAACAATAAAACCTTGCAAAAGATTTTAATTTTCAAACCCAAATAAAACCTTTTCATTGTCTATGAGATAAAGTATTTTCGTAAATATAAAATATTTAAATGTCAAAAGTATTCTACATTTCTTTTTGAACAAGCTATAATATCATAACACATAGTATCATTGCATTACTAATTAAATATCAGTTTTACCTGAAGTATCTATTGATAACATACATCCATATTTCATTCTTAGAAACTTATACGTGGATTGATATCAATACATGTATAATTATACCAGCGGTATCATTCTTATGTTTTTGTTTTTCCAAAATAAGATCACAAGATAATCAGACGTATTAACCGTACATTTAAAATTTCCTTACATTTATGCCACTTACTTGCATTTGTACTATTAAAGTTATAATGCAATGTGCAGCTATCGGTAGGCATTAGGATTCCTCAGAAGTATTTTGTTTACAACCTCGCTGCACGCTCATGAACTTGATCTGCGGGTTCATACGTTTATTGAACTTGCACCGCTTGCAGTTAGTTAATAAAACATTTGTTTTACAAGAAAGCGCTTTCAACTAATGGATATTGTTATTATATAATAGTTATTTGAGTATAAGTCTTTCTATCGATTATAATAAAATAATTTAGGTTTCTGAACCGGTATGAATAGACACTTAATATAATATAGAGTAAAAGATCCATTTAGAATCAGCTTTTCTATTCAAGTAACGTTTTCAGACATATTTTGTGTTGAAGTAAAAACAAAAATATATTAATTTTATAAGTTTTATAATTTTTTAAAAGTTTTTTTTATCATTTAGTTCTAATCTCCGCCAATTTATTGTTACTTATGTTTTGGTGCTGAATTATGCAGTTAATTTCAATCCAGTTATTACATAAATGATGTCGGCTTACTCGGTTACCTAGGTGTCAATGCACCGTTATTAGCAAAATACTTCGCACTAAATCCGTAAGCTACTGTTAAATATATCGATAACACATCATTAAGCCAGGCCGCGAGTCAGCCTAGGAGATGCGTTGAGTCTATGAAAACTGCAATATAGAAATAATTTTTTTAATTATCTTATTCCTAAGAAAAAGAATAAGAAATAGTAACACTAGTGGCATATATAACTATTTCAAATTTACAAAAAATTAGCGTCGTTACCGAGTGTATTGTTTATATGTACTTAAATGTTAACATGTATTTTTTTATCAATACCTAGAACGTTGAGAAATTGAATTGATTCAATGAATTTTACTTTACGATATTTAAGGAACACAATGCAAATAAATAAAAAAAAGGATAGAAAAACATTAAACAAATATATTATAAAAAGTATCAGCCTATACATGTCCCACAGCTGGGCAAAGGCCTCCTCTGTACAGAGGGTATCAGGGCATAGTCCACCATGAGGCCCCACTGCGGATTGACTGACTTCACGCCAGTTACTAGACTCCATAGAGTCAGTAACTCGTTCATGGGACGGTGTATACGCTTCTACAACAAAATCCCAGTTAATGTGCAAAGCCTATCTATTAACAGGTTTAAGACATTTATTAAAGAAAAATTTTTTAAAAAGGGTTATTATAATATAAATGAATACATTAACGATAATAACCCCTAGGAATGAGATGATCGCTCTTAAGCTATTTCTAAAAAAAAAAAATATATACTGTATAACTATGTATTTTTTGAGTAAAAAAAAAATGACAAAAAAGAGGATACCTACGGAGTTGGGTTACCATTACGAAACGGTGGTAGATTTAAAAAATGACTATCGATAAATGAAATGTATATTTCTTATTTACATGAATAAATGATTTGAATTTGAATTTGAATTCACATATCTTCGATTTTTTTTGTTATTACTTCGAAAATAATAACAAAAAAAGATAATTTGGCACTTAAAATTAGCAATTTCATTGGTGCCGACACCGGGGATCGAACTCAGGTTGCTTGAGTATATTGAATTAAAGGCGAGCGCCCGGACACTTAGCTATCACGACTCTATATATTATAAATGTTAACTAAAATTTGAAAAATCGCTCTCATACACATCCAGGTCCAAAGTAAAAACTGCGATTCACGGCAAGGGAAAAAGATAAAGCGACGCTAATTTCAGGGCCTCAAGACGAGTAGCGGAGCAACGAGTTCTCTTAAAACCGGTGTCGCCCACGCTGGGTCGAAATAACGGAATCTATATAAATAACGCGTGTTTGCCGACACCCGAGAGACCTGTTTGAGCGTCTGATTGTGCATTTTTGGCAATAAACTCCACTTCCTCACTTCTGCGCTGACTTTAATTTATGAAAAGATTAAAAAGCTAATTAATACCATTAGTAATTTTTCAAAAATAATTATCAAAAAATATTTAATCTTATTGTCCGACCGAGAGTGAATCTCCCCTTTTGAAAAGGAAAAAGGATTACATTCTTAATCACTGGAAAGTTCCTCGTGTCATCATAATGAGTAAAAAAAAGTAATAGCAATTGTCAATTTAATTCCGGTGCTAATTGCATTTAATTTTAATTAATAATACAGAAACCAAAAATAATGTTGGCATGCAGTTGACATCAATAGATAATTAATGAACTTTTAGAATTTTAAAGAACGCCTATCGGCTTATTTGTCCTTAGAACGAACCATCAACACGAAAGTTATGCACTTCCTCTTCAGCTAAAACTGACTAAAACATAAAACTGGCTAAAACATAATATCATAATTCACGGGGCCGGGGCCGGTAATTAAAATCATAGACAAAACCATATACAAAATGATACAATTGTTGTGCCAACTCCACCTGGGTGGAATAAGGGTAGGAGGATGAGCTTTCAACGAAGTCAAATTAAGTCAAAGTAATAGCCTGTACACATCCCACTGTTGGACTAAGGTCTCCTCTATACAGGGGGTATCAGAATTAAAGTGCACCCGGAGACTCATCGCAGCTCTAAATTAAGTCACAGCTTACAAAAACTTTTCATGTTTTTTAATGTTGAAGAAGTTTTAGCATTTTTACCGAAAAAACCCATAGTTACCATATATGGTGATCAATCATGAATTATTTTTGTATGACAAAAAAAAAATTCATGAATTATTCATGACAATTTTTTGATTACACCGGAATTGATTTATGATCAGGTTTGAGATGGGTAAGGGTACACATGCACTGAAATATTCACGTGTTTCACCCATATTTTTAATAATTTTAAGGGTGGGGAAAACTCACTGAGAGATGAAGGGACTATAGTAATTCGTAGAAAATCTCCATTTTAGTTGGAATACAACAGTAAGCGTTCCTTTACTACGTATTATGAGCTAGGCTTAGGGGAAATCAAAACACATTCCGTAGCCGTGGGTTTAATGGTATCCATTAGGATATTCTGATTTCATGCATGCAAATATTGATGATAGCATGGAGTCCAATTACTTTTATACTTATAATTGTATTTTGAGAGTTAGAAATCATATAACAAATAAGACAACTGAGATAGCGAAAGCGAAAATACAGCTTTGTAAACCTGCTAAATTATTTAAATTAAATATTTTGTCTAAAATTATTAAATAGAAAAACCGGCCAAGTGCGAGTTGGACTCGCGCACGAAGGGTTCCATACCATTATCCACCAAAAAAATCGTGTCTGTTGTATGGGATATTTGACTTAAATATTTTTTAGTACTTGTTGTTATAATGGCAACAGAAATACATCATCTGTGAAAATTTAAACTGCCCAACTATCACGGTTCACGAGATACAGCCTGACAGACAGTCAGACTGACAGACAGTCAGACAGACAGACAGATAGCGGATACTTAGTAATAGGGCCCCATTTTACTCTTTGGGCAAAGAAACCTTAAATAGGGTATTAAAATCTATGGAAAAAAAATTATAGACATTTTAATGTTTCATCTTAAGTGCAAAATTATAAAATAAAAGAAAGGTTATTTTAATCGTATTTTGTGAAATAGCAGATTTTTCATATTTTAGACAAGTGAGACGATGAATGAACAGTGATAATGAAATGAAACAAAAAAAATGATTATATTGTATGATAAAATATGTTAATTTATATTCCAAACATCAAACAAATTATATTCCAATGCAAATTTTTATTTATGCAATCTAAATCATCATACTCATGAATATGAAGGCAAATCGTTTCTTTCGACTGTTCACTCCAGAAATCCTGTCATATTTAATAAAAATAAAGAAAACTTTCTTTGTCTCTTTCTATATGGTTCATAACGTGGGCTTAATGTCTGATGTAAAACTTGCGAAACGTCGGGAATTTAAGTCAAAATAACATGATAAAATCCGTAAAGTATTTTCATGAAACAATGTATTTTTCTGTTTACAAGAAAGATATTAGCAGATTCTGATTTGAAACTGTTGAATTAATCAACTAAGTCAAGAAAGTTCGACTTTCTAAATCGACATCAGTGCAACCATAAAGGCTTTAAACTTTTTCCTCGTTTTAGTATTCGCAATTGCAAATATGCATGATTCATGCAAAAAGTATCACATGCATGAATCATTCAAAAGTTTTGAATCATACAATCTACTAATGTGTCCACATACGATCTCGAATTTAAATAAAATTTAAAGTTTGAATAAAGATATTACAAACATTTAAATTAAAGATAAACTTAGTTTACTAAAGTGTACAAATCTCTTTTATATAGACATAACTACGAACAACAAAGTGTTCCCGCCCTCGCCTCCGAGCACGGCGCCACAACACAACGCGCACACAAGGTACACCGTTCCAGGGTGGTTCTCACCGCTCCCAGCCACCGATTAGCTAATTGCACAGTCGACGTCCATCGGGGTTTCGGTCCGAACCGCGACCTCGATGGCCCTTATATGACACACCATAGTTAAACGCACGCATGAGCACATGCGCGGTTCCACCCGCAGCGAAGGACCCAAACCCGTGGGTTCTGGCTAGCTCAGCGACCCTACCCGTGTTGTAAATGACCATGGCCGGCGGTGATTACTTCACATCAAGTGAACCTCCAGGTCGTTTGCCACTTTTACACATATAAAAAGAATTTCTTCCGCGCTTAATATATTGTCATTTATATAAGATACCCAATGTGCTTTACCGATCTGTTTACAGTGCCGGGTGCTGATTCCATTTCTCTTTCACTGGACAAATTTCTTTTTCTATGGCACACAAATTGTTACGAATTGGCATTTCTTATTCTAACAACAAAGGAAAGGGAGGTAGACAGTTTAAACGGACATTTTTTTTAACGTAATGAAATTTTATAAATTGGCGAGATGGACAAGTGTGTTCTAAGTTTGTAATGACTAGTTTATTTTTTTGAAAAATAAAATAGAGGACAGAGGTGCTTCATAGCACTCATCTTATTTTCAATAGGTATTATCAAATATACAAACAATTTTTGTTCGTAAATGTAAAAATACATTTTGATGAGTACATTAATGATACTTCATTAATGACCTACAAAAATAGCTAAAATCATTATTACTATTAGAAATTAATGAGTGCAACCAATTAATTAAATAAAATAATCTTGATCCTTAATATTTTGGATATCCTCCATATCTTTGGAAATCAATCTGGCGGTTCACCTGATGTTAAGTGATAACCGCCGCCCATGGACATTTGCAACACGGCTCTACGCTGATGCGTACCCCGGCTACCTCACCCACCAGGCGGAACGCAGAAGTGTAACACCTCTACTTTCCGCCGGTCTTAAAAATAAAAATTAATTTACGTATGTCACTTTTTAGATCCAATTCTGGCACTATAACATCACCCAAAAAGTTTCTATACCTAATGTATGTTTTGATACGGGGCAAAAAAATTAAAAACAAGTTTACAGCTATAAGAACTAAATTTATGAACGATTTAACTTATGGCTTTATTATTGCCTTGTAATAGATATTATGTGAATATTGCGAACCACCAAACAAAGTTTATACGTTTGTAAATTATATTAATCGATAGAAAAGCGCCTCCTTTGAAAGAGTTTGTAATTAAAAATGTTGTTATTTATATGTAGGAAAAACGCCATTTTACAGATACCGGGACATAAATGAATGGTTCTGTTATTTAAAAAATATAAAAAAAAAGGAAATCGACTTTTAAAATAAAAGAGAAAGTATTTTATAATAATTATATCGAATGTACAGTTTTACTTTTCGAGATCTAAATAATTTCAATTTCAATTCTTCATTCAAATATCAACACCATCAAGCCGCAGTACATACAAAACATTTGCGGCTCAAGTAATTACGCGGCACATCAAAACGTATTTACGCTGATGACCTTGGGTCCGAACTTACTATTTAAGTCTGCCCTCTCAGACCCTATCCATTGTCTTCCGTGTCCACTTTAATTTTCAACGAAAGAGAAGTTTGAATCCGAAGTAGAAATGAACCTTTTATCGTGGGTCGCCTTACTCTTCTTCGTCGGCGTGGCTGTCGCCTATCCAGAAGGGAGCTCACGTGGTTGCATTTACATCCACGGAATTTGTGAGTATTTTAACGTATTTTATGTTTTTATACATCCCCCGATAAAGAATGTACTACAAAATTTTACTGTATAATCATTCTCAGAACGTGTATATAGTTTACAAGTGCTTACATCGGGGAATATTCATTTAATTTTTACATTTTCATATTTTAATTAATATTTTCGCTTACATAAATACTAGTGACATAAATCATTTCCACTTTCATGTCTATAATTCATACAGAGATGGAAATTATTTATGTGTCTGTATTTCTGTGTGATCCAGAATCACGGAATTTGGCCAAAAGCAAGCTTACAGTACACATAAAGGAAAAATTCCGAAAAAAAAAAAAGTAAAATTTGGTACTTGCATTAACATATCTTTATATATCTTTTTATTGTGTTGACCCAGGGCCATAAATTTAATACACCTAATGAGGTGTTTAAAAATTATGGTCCTGATTTATTAAGATCTCAGTGTCTTGTATAAATTTGAAGCTGCTAGGTCCACCCGTTCCTGAGAAAATCGGTTCTGATTATTTACTAATTTTATTATGGCGATTTACGCCACAATAAGGCAGGTTGATATGCTATTTCGGCAAATCTTGATTTACTATTTACATTTTATATTACAACAATACAAAATACATTTTCCATCGCAGGCCAGAGAGAATGCGAGGAAGGGACCACTGCATACGTGAGTAACTGCGACTACATGGTACCGGAGGCAACATGCGACGAGCCTAACCCCCAGCCGGACTTGAGCGGGAAACTCTGTGACTATTCCGCCTGCTACTGTGAAGCCCCCACAGTCCGAGACACAAAGACCAATAAGTGCGTCGCCCTAGAGGAGTGCAGCTAAAAGGAGTGACGTAGATGACACTTAACCCTAAGCCTACATTGTTTCTGACATATAATTGGTAGTTCAGTTAACGTTTATCTGCTGTATTTTTTTTTAGTTTTCATTCCCATATAACAATAAAGAATTCATATAAAACTAAAAGTATTTTTAGTTGTGTTACCCGAAAACTTAAAAGGTTTTTCAATTTCACTCCTACTTTTTATAACAGCCAGCTTATTTGCTTGAAATCTTTATACTATATTCGATTTATACATCTACCCACTTTTAATAATAATCTGTTCATTTGATTGAAAGCTTAATATCATATACGTCTTGCATATCTACACCTTCTTCGTGATCTTCATGAACGGTCAATGGCCAAGGACCGTATGATTGTATTATTATTACAAACTTGATCGTTACAATCATTGGGTTGTCAGAAGTTGAGCTTATAATCTTGTAAACCTATTCTGCAAGGGTTTCATTGTATGGTCAAATGGACGAACATTTAGTTATTTACAAAACCTTCCACTGTCAATACAGGGATTCCACCTGATGCAATGTGCGGCAATCTACAACACCAGGGAACAGATAATTTTTAATAAAAAAAAACCGACGTCAAACCGGAAACTAAAATAAACATTGTTAATACCTATAACATTGAGGGATTGCTCTCAATTTCTCTGGGCCATCATCAGATTCGAGTTTACTTATCATGGTACCCATGGCATCTCCTTTGAAACAAAAAAGAATCATCAAATCCGTTTTCTAAACTATGAAGTTGTCCACAAACACACACAAAAAATATATATACGGTCGAATTGATATACCTCCGTCTTTTTACAAAAAAGAGAAATTGCTTATGAACTATATCCACGGCAAATTAATATTGCAATCTTTGTTTAATCACTCGCAGAGCATAAGAATGGATCTACATCAGTTTAAAGTGCGCAGTACACACGTCCATTGCATCTACCATTGCAACCGTAAACAGAGGTCGTGGATTCGATTCCTACACGGGACACGTATTTTTGTGACCCGCAGACAATTGTTCCGTATCTTGGTGTTTCTTTCCCAACGAGCATGTACATAATTTTCAGTACTTCGGGTTTAATTTACTAACTCGTAACGGACTTTACCCTAAAAAGGCGACAAGAGGCAATGATACATTTGTTTAAATTAAACTAAGTGCCCTCGACATGTTAGGTTTTTGTAGCAGATGTTGTTTTTCTTCCTATGACATTTTAACTTTTTGACAAGTGTAACTCCAATGCATGCCAACCATCGAGGCGGTAGCGATGATATTTGGTAGTTTGACGCGTCTTACGGTTGCAAAATTCATCAGCAGATATTAATCCGAATAATTCTTCAGAGCACTCGGCCCAGCAAATATGTACATATTTTCTATAATTTATGACGCCAGCCTCGACAGCCTCGGCATTATTTCAATACAAGCCCTTGTCCTTCATCACTACCCATACACGCAAACACTAGAGGTACACTGGAAAATATAGTCGCATGTATAATACGCTATTCCACATATGATCTCAGCTATTTAAGGCAAAGCGTCCATTTTCAAACCGCAGTACTTTAACGTTGCTTGATAGATTCGTAGCTTTGCTCGAATTAACAATGAAGACCTTGGCATGTGTGTTTTTACTGGCCTTTGTCACGCTGGTACTGTCCGAGACGGCGTTGCACCCACGCGGCTGTATTTACGTTAATGGACGGTGTGAGTAAATATTGCTTATCACATACATATATTGACCAGCAAGTACATAATTTATGAGGATATTTTAGTAGCCCTTTCGTTTAAAAACCTTATAGCGGATAATATAGGCATGATTGTTATTTAAGTAAACATGTATTAACTTTATGGCTGTAAATATTTTCATCGGGTGTCGCGGAAGTGTGCTGAAGGGTTCCCGTGACCCTGCCGATGCGCCTAGGTGGAAGGAACATCGTGGGGGCTTTATGGGCGTGTCATAATCCATAATCCGCTCTTGCCCCCGCAAGGGCGGGTATGCGTAGGCATTTCTCCCATGTAAACAAAAAAAGCCGTCCGGGTAAGTATCACGAACTCACAGAAGACCGGCGTGAAGTGGAATTATTATACTTTTGCGTTACGTCTGGTGCAACCCTGCGGGTATTGCAAATGTCAATGAGCTGCGGTTATCACTTAACATCAGGTGAACTGCCAGCTCGATCGCCACCTTCTCAAATAAAAATAAAACTACAAGTATAAAGACACTACAGTTGTATTTCCAACAAAATTTCTGAATTTTTCAGATGGAATTACATTATTGTGTATTTGTCCTGTCTAATTTTATTCTCGGAACTAATAAACATTTCTAGAGACGATTTTAACATTTTTCACTTCCTTTATTCTTTATATCTAAACGTCCAGACACCAGAATGTTATGTTCATCAGACAATACTCTTCCAATAGTGTGGATTGAACCTTTGTATTACCTTGTACAAATCTTTTTTACATATTAAATGCGTAATCACTTCAATGATAGTTACAAATAGTTACAAAAAGATAAGGCATGATCATACTTTTAAATAAAAATTTTCGAGTGGTGACCATGAACCAAACACGTAGTGTTTGCAGGCCTACTTAACTTTTGTCCTATAGTGGTCATCTTACGGATAATGATGATTGATAATGATATTAATAAACCTTTTAATTTTGATTCGATAATAAAAAAGGTAAATTGTCTAATTTAATATTGGGATAATGTAAATATACAAATATTTGGTTATTAATGTAAAAGTGTTACAATGTTTAATTAATTTTTAAACCTTTAACCTTTAATTAACTCCAATGAATGTGATACTTGAACGTATAGGAGGATATATTATATCTTGTACGTACTTTAGATATAAAACTATATTATGTGTGTTAGGCATTTGTTATTACATTAGAATAAACGTTAATCTTATTATAAATGTAATCAAACCAAAACGATTTTGAATTTAAGATTGTTTCAAATTTTATGATTTAAGTACATGTAGATGACAACTTTTGTATAGGGGCAAGCCCAAACCATGACTAAAAACTAGACATTAAATATTACAAAGAAGTTAAAAAGCGGATATGTTTTGTAGATTTATTAATTATAATGACATTTAAAGCTGCTAATACCTGTACATTCAGCAACAAATGTAATATTTCTCACTAAACCTAACAAATATTTTATGTGAATGTATACAACATGTCAATATGTGTCTGACAACGTTTATTAGGATTCAAAATGTGTGTTTAATTAAAACAGCGCATGTACACGTAGTTACTAATGAATACTGTCAATACTAAATTGAAAATTAACACACACGTGACACCTAGTTTGAATACTGTCAATACTAAATTGAAAATTAACACACACGTGACACCTAGTTTTAACAATTAAAATGAAAATTGTGTTTTTTTCAATCACAATCAGCAAAATTGATGTATTACAAATTAGTACAAGTAACTAAGTTTGCGTTTTATGGATATTTTAAGAGCAGAAATTATCATATTTTTTATGTAAGAAGGTGGCAAGCGAGCTGGTGGTTCACCTGATGTTAAGTGATAACCGCCGCCCGTGGACATTTGCAACATCCGTATCATTGCAGATGGAAACTTCGAAACGCTCTGTGTGGTCGCGGTACTTACCTGGACGGACCTTCTGATTCGTTCAACAGCCGAAGATGTTGCGTGGCCCTACTACAGTTATATCAAACCTATCTCACGCAATGAGAACTTATCAATGTCTTACATCTAAGTGCCTGCAGAATTATAATAGCATTTACTCTAATCAAGACTTCAGTACAAAAGTTAACCAAAGTAAGATAAACACTAAAATACTAAAAGCTCAATAATGAGACTCATGGTCATAGGAATAAGTCAGGTACCTTTAATTGATCGACCAATACCATTCTACCATCGATCGATGCCATCGATCGACCATCGATCGATTGGTCTGGTAACACTCTTAGTCCTTTTCTAGTAGCAAGAAGCAGCTTTAGGTAATATGCATAAAATAAACATTTCGCCTCTTTGACACCTTTCGGAAAACATTGACTTACGCCGGATAGAGTAAGATATGGGTCCGATTTGTGTCCGCCGTATTCTACATATTGCCGTATTTCTCTCATGTAACTAGCAAAAAATTCTAGTAATTTCGGGGTAAAACCTACTACTGCTAAACCTTTAGTAATAACCTCGTTATTGAATAAATTTTTAAAATCAAAGTATGCAGCATCGATTTACCCGCCATCTGTCCTTGGTACAATAGAAAGTGTAGATTACTAGAAGTACCACTACTACTTTTTGCCCGTCGAAACTAATGCTGAGCTTCTGAAATTTGTTGGATTACCTGATAGATAGTAGAGTCTAGTACTTTTGCAGGCTTTGATAATGTTGCCTATGTCTGGCACCGGTACAACCCACGTAATTTTCCACCTCTACGGAAATACGGCGATAATGAGCAGGTCGTTCAAAAATGTTACGCGATTACTGCCGCCCGTGAACATCGAGGAGTAACAAATGCGTTGCCAACCATTTTAAAGTGGGATCGGATTACCTCACTCATCAGACGAAACCCACTTAATGACAGTCTTCTATGATGACGTTATTCCCGGACAATATACCAATTAATATGTTAACGTTAATTTAACAAAAAGATTGTAAAGATTTGTAAAGTATTTTAAGCGATGCTGCGTGGAATAAAAATAGACAGCTGTGACCAAGCTGTGAGCAACCCGACCGGTTATAAAATATAATTAATGCCAACTAGTGATGGTACCTATTAAAAACAAATAATAAGTTTCGTATACAAAACATAGTCTTAATTTAAAGAGG